ATTCGGATCCCTATCAGGCGGATAATGCCAAAACACAGAAAACGTCTACTTCCAGCACCTTTAATGAGGAGACAATCAACCCAGGAAAGAAAATATATGTGTAATGCTCCGAGTAGTCATGTTGCGTCTGCCCAGAAGTCAAGGCAATAGAACTCCTCCTTGATATTGTTTTAAAATTTTTGAAGATCAAAGCTGACGTGCAAGAAGCTGGAACAAAGTTCCACAAGCGAGAAGTGTGAGAGAAGAAACTGTTAGCATAGAATTTACGGTTACATCTAGCCACTTTAATTGTAAAATAATGATTCCTTGCCGCCAATCTAGTTTTATCGTTAAATTCATAAAATCTAGGCACTATGAAGGAAGGTTCATCAAAACAATTACCATGAAAGTAGTTATAGAAAAGGCATCGGGAAGTTACGTTACGGTGGTGGGAAAGTGACTGAAGCCGAGATGCTATGTCAGGACCAACGACATTGCAGATTCTTCTTTGGATTTTATCAAGGATCTCTAAGTATATAGTAGGAGCACCAGGCCATATATGAGAGCAATATTCAAAACATGGACGAATTATAGACTTATAAATATGCAAGATAGATTCTGGAGAGAAAAATTGTCTAGCGGCAGACCTAGCAATTGATTCAAGATAATATTTCCAATTCATGTCAGCGGAAAACGTTAATCCGAGAAGGCGTAATGAGTCACTTTCCTGGGGGTTAGCATCAGTCTTACCGATGGAAGGTTCTCGCAGCTGATTAAAAGAGTGTAACAGGATAATGAACCTGAAATCGACGCTTTATAAGTAGAAATGTAAAAATTGAATTTGTTGGATAAAATTTAAATAAACAGAAATTTAAAATATGGTTTGGCAAATTCAACTCTAGCTTCAGGAGGGTACGAACCCTGCACCAGAAATTGAAATAAGGAAATTAGAAGTTATGTTGGTAACTGATAAAGTAAGGTTAATGTATTTTCAAATACAGATATCAGTGTAAAGTGCTTTTTCGGCCAGAACGTTTGTAATGCGCTGATAGGTGGCAATTGGATTTGTTTTTTGGGGTTTTTTTTTGTTTTGTTTTTTTTTGGGTTGTAGGGGTTGTTATGAATTCCACCTGAGTTGTCACAGGTTTGTTTAAAAAGGGTTGATACAATGTTTGAAAACTGGTAAGGGCGAAATTAATTTGAAGCTGAGGACTAAGGAGAAACCAGATGTCCCTTTTCTGTGACAATCGTCTGCCATTTTCATAATTATTATAATTCAGGATTTCTGATGAGGAATCCTTCACCAGTAAGAACCCCAGCTGGTTAATTTACATGAATATGGATATAATGAAATGTAAACTGTGGGCATTGTGAATTGTCATTTTCTAGGGGCCCGGCTAGGTAAAGTGAAGTCATTAATCATTGTTATCAAGAAAGATTTCCCCATATAAGCAAGCGCGCAGTAGTTGGTAGTCATTTTCTGTGAAGGAGAAGAAACGGACTATGTTCGAACACACCCGCATTTGGCCGAACACACAGACACAGTGAATACAGAGAGAACTCTCAGACGTCACTTCGTAGAAGTTAAATTCTGTAGACTTATTTTTTCTCTTCTCGTTAAATCTTAAGTTTACAGAACGCGTTTGATTCGTTTATCAAGGAACTTTTTTCCCTCAAGCCGACTACCAACACTCGACCGTAACCAGCAACCAGAAGAAGGGTTACCACGCTCTGTGAGAGATTGATTTTATTGACTTTCTCCACGGACACGACAATATTTGGGTCCAACTACGAGGATCGTCGTCAACAGACAGGCAGAATAGGGAAATACTTAATTTCTGTTCAATTGAAGCGAGAGATCTGACTGTGTGCGACTTCTGTCGAACTCTCTGCTTTGGCAGAGAGGAACCCGGACATGCCTTTGCCGAAGGGCAGAGTTTCGTCCGGGGAGGTAGACAGATCCCGAACCCGCTTGTGCCGGTTCACGGGAATATGTTTGGCCGAGCCTACGGGCTCGGAGAAACCCACGTTAAACTCGGCCTTATGTCACATACATTCCTCGTGCGGGGACTGTTAAATAAGGTAATCTACCGGCCTTGTTGGCACTTGTTCTCGAACATGACGTAGTCGGCTGATACTGATGAATTGCCCGAATCACCCGGTTATATCTAGTGCAGCAAGCCAACCAATTGCAATTGAGTACCGTGGAAAGGAGCTGACCACACCCCAGCAACCGGTTATATATGGTGCCGTGTCACCAAGATAAAATATTTTCAAGTCTATCCGAGAAGCAATCAAGAGCCTCAGGACCCCCCCAACCAGTCTGTTATAAGAGAGCGCTTTCGTTTTCCGCGCCCCACCAAAAAAAACACTATGCTACACACACTCATTAACACTTCTTTCTTTGCAGTGTTTAAAATAACATTATGAAACTATAACACGATAAAATGTCCAATGCTTTATCATTAGTTAGTGACTTTAACCTCCTCGGATCAATACCAGTAGATACTCGTTAAGTAAACGTTAACACCACATAAGACGTGTCGTTTCTGAAATACTAAGGTCTCATCTTCTAGACACAACACTTTGGTCTTTATCAAAGTTTCTGAAATCTTTCTTCCTGCCCATAACTGATGCATTCAACACATCGAGATGAACTACTCGAAGCCGGATCACCTGCTGATATACATTTTTGACTCTAGTGTGCATAGTTAAAAATAGGTAAGGCCACGGACATCCTAAAAAAAAAGCAAAAATGCATTTTAAATAATTTAAATATCTTCTTTGTAGTTGAACTTTTATTTTATTTGAAAGAAAGTAGCCTAAAGCTAACGAACCAGTATGAAAATAAAAAATAAATTTCTGTAAGTAAATGAGTTTTTAGGCATTTAAAACATTCCGTACGTTCACTCGTCACTCATATCGAATCGTCGTTATAGACGGAAAATTAAAACAACAAACTTAAAATCTCTTAAAAATCCGACATTTGTCCTGGAGATGAGTTCCAAAGCCAGTTACTATATTTAAGAATTAATTAACTGGATTTTGTAAAAGTAATGCTTACCTTTTGCTTTTAAAATACAGTGTAACCCGGATATAAGAGAAACCCGGATATAAGAGAAACCCGGATATAGGAGACTTCTTCTCCGGTCCCGACAACTCTCTTATATCCGGGTTACACTGTATAATAAAAATAACGTTTATTTACTCACGGTAGTTTGTGATGTCATAAAAACAATTTGCTCCTCTAATCCATGACTTCAATAGTGCGTGAAAAATTTTTAAAGAAATAAATACGGAACGTTAGCAGTGCAGTAATCAGGATGCTTAAATAATAATCTTTTTTACTTTAAACAATAGTTTAATAATATATTTTTATTATTTTATACGCTTTTATGAAACATAGTAGAATTAATAATTTTATTTGAATAATTGAAAGTATAAAACGAAATTAATTAAAAACTAATATTTTTTTAGTTTAATTTTATTACCTGTTTTAGGTTATAAAATATTTATTTGCACCCAGTGAGTTTTTTTTTTTTAATTATTCTGAATTAATGGATTATCTCATTATTACTCTTCCTATACAGAAAAGTAGTTCGTCAAACTCAAAGATCATTCAGAATTATTACCTTTTTGAACTTCCGTACAAAAAATAATCTAACAATTTAAAAAATAAATTAAAATTAATTTTTAAAATTTCACACTCGAAAATAGCATTAAACTACATTTTTCGAGTCTTCAAATATGTCTTTAATAAAAGAACTCCTGTTACGAACTACAACTAGAAGAATTTCAAAATTGCATTTGTTTACTTTTTAAATATTCAATGCAAATTTTGAATCCTGTCCAGTCTGAAAGAAAATGTGTTTTTAGTTTTACTACCTACCCCAAACTAAAAAGAAATTACTTTTTGACTTTTTTGAGTATTATTGAATTATTTTCGGAAGATTCAAGCAAGGCAAGACGAATTTTTACTTTTCACACTTGAAATGTCTGGATTCTTTTTCATAAAAGTTTTTGAAATATTTTTTTTTATATAATTGTAAAAACATTTCGTGAATACACCCAAATTAAAAACTACATATCAGATATCGAACAGGGGAAAAATATCCAACCTATCAAAAAAATATTTATTCCGTACAAATCATTCATCAATGCAATGAATAAGTACTAAAAACTTAAATCGGATAATTTCCTGATATTTTTTTCAAATTTTGAATCTTTTAAAACATCGAGTAACGATTTTTGCGACACTAAAAGAAAGTAGAATTTTTGCCATATGTTGCTGGTCATAAGTTTTGGTTTCAAATCCTGATGTCCTTGCTTCGATAACTTTCTTGAGAAACAAAGTGCAAGTGCCACCAAACGCCTTCTATCATTTAAAAAAATAAGAATTATCTTTTTTATTCACTAAGTCATCATTTTTATCTTCTTTTTTTTTTAATAGAAAATAGCTTAAAAATAATTTCTTTTTAAATTCAGATAATTTCCCAAGAAATAAAAATTGTATGAATATATTTTAAAAATCATATTATTTTTCCCAATAAAAAATAGAATTAGCCCGATCCTTGAGATGCCTGTATTCTTCTTTCGAAGAAAATATTATTGCTATTTTAAATACTTTTTGATTATATGAAATAAGTAGAACTAAATAATTCTGTTGTATGTTTACCTTCCAGTCGAGTCTGATTCTCACTGAGAAAACAAAATGCACATGTAACAATCCCACATAGCGGAAGTGTGTAGTATGAGGCATGCGCAAAATAAGCCGGAAACGTAAGCGCCGCCATTTTGTATACCGCAGAAAACTTACGAGTCATGCTCAGCTTGTGAAAGGCTCGTTTCTTTGTCGTTGCCTATTTCCTAGCTCTGCTTTATTTTTTTGTATATTTTGCCTCATCGCTGTTACATCGTTTAGTGTCATTTTTTTTTCATTGTAACCATTGACACTAAACAAAATTTACTTCCACGGTCTTAATAAGTTAGAATTAAAACATTTAGCCTTAAAAAATTTCAATATGCCTGTAGCCGATAGCAAACCCATCCATAAAGTAGTTGTGCACCCGTTAGTGCTTCTAAGTGTCGTGGATCATTTCAACAGGATGGGAAAAGTTGGAAATATTAAACGGGTTTGTGGAGTACTACTTGGATCCAACCGGCAAGGTGTCCTCGATGTGTCTAATAGTTTTGCCGGTAAGTTTTTATTTCTGTATTGTCACCATTAGCTTTTTTTGTTTAATTATGTGAAGACTGATGAAGTATGTTGTCTGAAAAGTCTTTCGAGTCCCTCGAAACCTCGCTTTGACACTATACTTTATGTTTATGTATACTTCAAATACATTTAACTAAAATATCTTCAAATATAGTTTTGGGTACAGCCGGCTTTAGTGTAACAAACAATTTTTGCATAACAAATACTGATTTATCCCCCCTTACATCGGATGTATAATTCTTGAACGAGACTCATATCATGAGTTCTCTAAAAGTCATACATTTATATAATTTATTAAAACTATTTTTTTCTTATTTTGGTAAAAGTCCAGAATTGGGGCCATAATTTCCATGCTTCATCAACCATGGCTCTTTGGAGAAATTGAAAGAAGACTTAATTACTTTGCAAGAATTTGTTCCTGATCGAGATCAAAGACGTATTGAACAAGGTTCTACGATCATTAATGATCGTTGTTCCACTTATAATGGGCTCTAAATGTTCTGTAGTGCAATCACAAAGTTATCATTCATGAAAATAATTTTTAATTACACATGAATCATTAGTTTCTGTTTAGTTCATAACCAAAACTAGAGATGTAGCTGGCTTCATAAGCGTTTTTATGAGAAAAAGAAATAAATACCTCAATATTAATTTTTTGAAAAAATGTATTAGAAAATAAAAATAAACGATAAATTTTAACTTGCGAATTAAGTTTTACTTTTATGGCGCCGATTTTACGTTTACCATTTTTTTCATAGTACGAAAAAAATAAAATTTAACATCGATCAATAAGTTTGAAAAAGTAAAATAAAAACAGTCAAACCAACTCAAAGTAAAAATAAAAAAATACCATCTTTTTCATTATTTCTAATGCATAACTTAAAATCAAAAGGAGGGATCAGAATATGAGGTTAGTTACACTGAAAGCTAGGGAGGAAAATCAGTCATTTGTTTGCGAATATTGTTTCCACTAGCGTTTTAAAACCTGTAGTCTCCTATATTTTAAAGTTCTCAGAAAACTTCGTATTTAACTGCATGTTTGTTTTGTTTATGGTTACAATTTTTTTACATTCTGCTGAAATTTAAAAACCTGATTTTTCTCTTTTTTTAACCGTTTAAAAATGCATTTTCTGTTTCACGTTTTTTAAAAATTAATTTTTAATAGTTTTTTTTAATATTTTCCGTTTTTTCTTTTTTATTTGAGATTTTCAAAACCAAAGTGTAAATTTGCAGTTTTTCATTTTTTTTTTTTTTACAATATTCTTAAAATCAGTTATGTTGTTTCATCCAATTTTAAAAAAAGATATGTCGCAACTTTTGCATCTCCTCCTGCACATTAAAATTTGCATTTGACATTTCAATTGAATGTCCTCAAAATTATTGTTTTACAGTCAAGAAAATCACCATAAGGTACTTAAGCTGTTCAAGTCTAGAGTCAACCGCTATCTTCCCCGCATATCCCCATCAACTGTGCCTCTTACTCTGTAATTATCTACCTCGAGTGGCTCTTGGGCCTTTTACAGGATGAACGTCATCAAAAAAAAAACATACAAATTCAAAAACCAATAATACTAATAATTAAACAGGATATAAATCTCTAGTAATTTGATGCCAAAAATGATTAAACTTTGAATTTTTGATTCCACCTAAATACTGCAAAGTCACCATTCACCATAAGATTTTTTTTCTCAGTGCAAACAGAGATTCATTGATATCCACTATGCATCTAGGTTACTCATGTTTTTGTTTTTGTTTTTTGTTTTTGTTCTTGTTTTGTTTTGTTTTTTACTGTTATATAACCCAATACAAGGGCCACTGAAGGTAGAGCATTTCTGAGTGAGAATGGGGAAGTAAGATAGTATTATGAGGACAAATAGAATAGATATTGGGTGACTCTGGATTTAAAGAGACCATGATTGTAGTTGCCTGTGAAGCGATTCTCTTGAGAATTTGTTCTACAAAGTAACAGTTTTAGAGAAGAAGCTGTTTAAGTGAAATTTGTTTATATCAAAAGAACACAAAGGGAATAGAGATGGTTTGCCACCATGAATATGACATGGTGGGTCCTTGCTGTTTATGGTCTGCGCTGATGGAACTAATGAATGTAACTGATCAGAACATCTACCATAGTAATAGTGATATAGTAGAAAAAGGTTGGCAACTTTTCATCTGTGAAATTAGGATTGCAGGATGGAGAATAATTCATCACCCACAAGGTGATTATAAAAATGCACAAATGACGAGGACAAAAATATAATAGTGTCAAAAAACTTCTCTCTCTTTATTGCATAATATCACTAAGAGAATCCAGTTTATATTATCAAAAAAAAATGCTTTTTGATTCCAGTTCCCATAAAATTACCGATGGTAAGCAACATTGAGTCTTGTTAGTACATAGATGGGTGACTGTTTGGAAATACCCAATGCTGTAAGCTTGTATCTGCAGCTGGTGTAATGGATAATGGTTTGGAATTGTTAATCGGAGAGCCAAGTTCCAATTCCCATTGGGTTCATTATATTTACTTATGCACAAATACCTTTGGGGAAAGGTGTGACTCCATCTCTTCTCTCTCCAACTTTGAATTAATTACTAAGACTTGTATCACCAAACTATTATTATCTCCAAAAAAAATTCATACAATCTAAAAATATTTTCTGACTTTAAATAACTTGAAAAGGGGTTAATATGCTGTAGAAAACAAATCAATCATAAAATTATTCGCATTACAATTGTTTCCCTTGATAAAAGAAATAACTTTGAACCAACTTGCATTGAATAGTTTTTACATTTTTAGAAAATATGAATGTAAGATGGTCTTTAACTTTTTATCCCGTAGTTCAGATCTTTTAATTCATACTTTTCTTTATCAAATAAAAAAATGTGTTCATTATTTTGTTATATTGTTAAATTGGTATTAAATATCAGAATTTCTCTCTTCTTTTTCTCCATATCCCATTTTCTGATGAGGTTTATAATAAAAGTGAACATGTTAGATTGATAAACATTTCGTAATTGTTCTTATCTTATCATTAATTGTTTAATAATATTATAAAATTCTTTTCAGTTCCATTTGATGAAGATGATAAGGACAAATCTGTGTGGTTTCTGGACCATGACTACCTGGAGAATATGTACGGAATGTTCAAAAAAGTCAATGGTAAAAAATATATATATACTCACATTGCACTCTTATGTAATAAATTTAATTATTCAGAATGATATGATTCTATATTTAAACTTACAGCATTTTTCCTGCTTAAGATATGGAACTAATAAAATTATGACTAATTAGTCTTGTTAATATTGACCAGGGCTGTGGAATCAGAACACAAAACCTTTGATTCTGACTCCTCTATTTTTGGCACCTCCAACTCTGACTCCTCTTTATGTAATTAAGTGATCATAGCCTACAAATCTCATAAAGCCTATGTATAGACTCCTAACTTGGGTAGGCCTATATCATTATCATTGGTTTATATAAAAGAATAAAGATATTGTGGTTTTTATATCTATTCATTCTTCAATATTTTCGAACAAAATTAGAGACAAAATCCTTGAAAGAATATAGAAGAAATAACAATAAAAATGCTATAATGTAAGACTTTTTACATATATCTTTGCAAATAAGAAATAATTACAGGACAAAAATAAAACTACTTCATAAGAAATTGAAATATAATCTTTTACAGGATGTAAATGACATAACAAATTAAAAATTCTATAATGTAAGTTTTTTTAAATATATAGTTTTGCAATAAAGTTGAGATGAATTTCTTTAAAGGAAATAGTAAATATACAGTAGAAGAAATAATTAAAAATAAAAATTCTATAAGATTTTTTACATAAAGTGTAAATTCAACTGGCATCAGAGTCAGTTTTACTGACTCCACAGCCCTGATATTGACTCATGAACATAACATAAATTTGATTTCATGTTTATTTTCATTGAGTTTTATTAATATTGTCTTTTGATATGACTGCATGAAAATAATCCACATATAAAAAATTCAGGGTATATATAATTTCCAAATATTTTATTAAATTCAACCAGTGAAGTTTATTTCATTTTTATTGTATTTTTCCAATAGGATGTTCTATATTAGGATTGAAATTATGGAAAAACTGTCTAAAGTTCATGTTTGTACTGTAGTTTTTGTTCAAATACCTTTTTATGGTCTCTGTCATTATCATGTGTTGTCAGTGTAGTTGGAAAGATTCCATTGGATACATCTTGATATTTTATACAGGGCTGAAGTTTGAACTGATTTAAAGTGATGTTATGTAATGGATAAAAGGAGCAAAATCATACCAAAAAGAATGCATCAGATATTGTGCTTTTTTTTTTTTTTTTTTTTTTAATGCATATTAAATATTTTATACACATTTCAAGATGCAGTCTCTTGTAGTTGATTATATTTGATGTGGGTTGTTGTAATAGCTTCTAAGATTTTGAGTTTTTCCTTGCATTGGGTGCTGTATAATCTGGTATTATCCACTAATATTTGTCTTATATTGATAGCTGTATTTTGGTTGTTTATGATGTACTGATTGATATATGCAAAAATTTCACCAAGTTTCAACAAGTGACCTGTCAACTTAAGGAAGTTTGGTGCATGTGTGGCCAATGTAAGAATTTGTTGTTTTTTGATTGTTGATATTAGAGATACAATCTCCCAGAGAGCATGCAAATTCATAAACTGCATTATTTTTACATAGGTGGGTTTTCTGAGGTACCAAGTTATTGGTAGTAATTAGATGTTTTCAAGTTTTTGTAGTAAATGATAAATCTAAGGTATTTGTTTGGATTGTAAGTGATATGTACTGACAAATTATATTTTTAATGGCTTTGTCATATATAAACACTCATTGAAAATTCATTGAGAAGGTGGAAGTTTTGATCAATCATGCACTGTGTAAATGTGTGTAAAACACTACATAGAGAGTATAGATATTGCACACTGTGCCAAGACAGAAAGTCATAGAGTAATCCTTTGCCCCTAGACAGAATGTGCAGCTGCTCTGATAATAATCTAATCATTTTTGACATGTATTATGCCAGTTAAAAATAATTTGCATTCATAATTTTCACTTCTTCTTTTAGTAATCCTATAGCTGTAAAACATATATAGCAAATGTTATGCACCATTTATCTTTTAACATGTTTTAGAGGAATGGAGTAGACAGTCTATAAACTGCAGGCTAGATTTGGCCTGCAAAAGGATTTTGACCAGCCCACAAGCAAATAACAGATCATGTCTTGTTACGCTGGTCCCAGATTTCATTTTACTCCATCATTTTTTTATATTTTAAAGATCCCCTTGTGTTTTAATAGATTCAACAGATACTTTGATTGAAATATAACTGAACTGATTTCTTTTATTACTAATTGGCATCCTTGGTTAAGCATAATAGATTTTCTAGCAAGTGATGTTTATTGAGTCAAAAATATAACTAGATGTAGTTAAGTGAATAGTTACCATATTTCAAACATTCTTATGTCACTTATCTGGCCCATTGCCTACTACAAAATGCTGTCCAGTCTACAGAATCAAGGTTACTGACTGTTGCTTTAGAAAATGCTTTTACTTGTTCTCACTAAATTGAAAAAATAGAAGTGTTCATATTGTAATATTTTAATTAAACAGAATTGTATACTCATTTATAGAAGAAAAGTTTCATGATAAATGAATTTACCTCTAGTCTGTTGCTGATACAGAAATCTATTTCCAATCTCTTTGTGCAATGAAATATGTTTGTTCTGAATTCAGAATTATGAAAGTGTGAATTAAAAAGGTCAGTTTGCTTGTGAATTCTACTATTAAGTACTACATTAGTTTATATGTAATTATTAGCCACCATTAGTTCACTTCAGAACAAAGGTGTTTCCTAAATCCTTTTATGACAACCATGACTATCCTATTCTTTGTAATGACTAATTCCCTTATCTTCCTATCATTTGTCTGGTCTTAGTACATTTATTATATATTGGACACCAGTCAAGCATCTTTTTGCTCCATCAGTTTCATCTTTTATTTTTTTTAGCATGTGATCTCCCCCCCTCCTCCATTTTTGTCATTTAATTTCTTGTCTTTGACTTTTCTTTGATCCATGTTGACTTTTTCCTCTTAGTTATCCACAGCATTACTCTTTCACTGATGTTTGTGCTTTTCATTATATCTCTTATTTTTTGTTAACTGCTTTCCATCTTACCATTATACAAAATTTTTATTGCATGTCTCTCATCTTTCTTAAATGTTATCACCTGTTCTTAGACTTATTTCAACTGTTTATCTTCTATTTTATCTTTTTGGGAAACTTATAACTGAAAATTACTTTTGTTTTATATCTGTTAGTTTTTAAATCTACATTCAGACTTCCCTTATTCAAATCATTTAGCATTTTCTATAATTCATCCAATGATTCTGGCATTAGTAAAGAGCCTTCAGTAAATTTGAGATGGTTTAAATATTTTTGGCTATTTCTACTCCATATTTTTCCCAGTTTATTTTCTGAAAGATACTTCCAATGGCTGCTGTAAATGGTTTAGGTTAAATTGTATCCCTTTGCTTAATTTCCTTTCCAATCTCTCTCTCTCTCTCTCTCTCTGTGTAGTTGATTCAGTGCAGGGCTGTTATCATATATAATCTCAATAAATTTTCTATTATTTTTTTCATTAATATACTCTTTCATATTGAGTTAATAATCTGTGTGTCCTACAAAGGCAAATGTGTTTTTTTATTGTCAACAAAAGCTATCCATATGTTTAGATATGTTCTACTGTTTTCTTTCTATCAGTTGGTCTATTGTTTGTAGATGGTCTAAAAATCAAAAATATCTATAATTGGGAAAACCTTTCTCATACATGATGTAATTTGTATGATACTTAATACTTGTTTAAATTAGAAATGTAGCACTCCTAAAAATGCCAGGATGAATACTAATAAAAACTTTTCTCTAATACACTGGTGTTATTAACATTCTTAAACACTAGTGATGGTAGGAATTACTTGAACAAATCTAATCCACTTGAGAAACAATTTATACACAAACTGGAAAAATTTAATTGCCAGTTGATTTGAATAAAACTTGTTCAGAAAATATCTAGCCATTTTTAATATCTTTATAGCCAGTTACCATTACATCAATCAGATATGACTTTATTGTGGATCAGCAGTGCAATGTCATTGCTAATGAAAGAACTTGTCTGTCAATCCTCTTATAAAAATTTGATTCTTTGTGATGTTTAAATGTTTTCTGTTTCCCTAAAACTAAAATCATCATTGAAATTAGTATTAACTAACCGCATACTTTCTAAATGTTTTCTAGTGTATGATATTTTTTTATTAATAATAAAATCCACATTGATGATGGTAAAACTGTCAAATGTCAGAAATTATTTGTTTTTCATTTTCTGTCAATGATTTTCACACCATTATTGAATAGGCATTTGTCTTCTCTAACTTCAGTGTATGTCAAATATAGAGAACAGTAAATGAGTTTGGATTATTGTTAAGCTATAGTGGTGCCAATGTCCAACTGGAATTTTTCATGTCAAACAACTGAATGTATTTAATGCTTTAGTGTATATAACTGCATTGAATGTTATTGTTTTGATGTCATTATTTGAAATTGGCAGCCATAAAATCTATAGAATTTCAATATTAGAAGTTATGAATTTTGAATAATTTGTAACCTCGGGAACTCTATGCCATGCTTCACACTTTCATATTAATTCATATAAAGTTCCAGAAATAGTTTGGCTGTGAGTAGAAAATTCATAATTTTTATTTCTATAGAAAAATTCACTTTTTCTTTAACTCTCGCACTACCAACCTGTTTTAGTTTCCTATCTTGTTACTGTGATATGTTGATGTGTTATATTTCAATGAATATAATATCATCACATTATACCAGTGGGAGTAAACTAATTATTCTTATAAAGCCATCATTTTATTTATATTTGAAAACTCAGTGGTAAATTTAATTATATTCCACTCCAGTATCTAATTTTTTTTTTTTTTTTTTTTTTCAGCACGTGAAAAAGTTGTTGGATGGTATCACACTGGCCCAAAGTTGCATCAAAATGATGTAGCTATCAATGAACTTATGCGGAAATACTGTCCAAACTCAGTAAGTTGATATACTAAACCTATTTTCTTTCATTCTCTCTCTCACAATTTTTTGTTTTTTTCTGAAATACTTTCACAACCTAGAAATGTTTGAATTAAAGAACTTGGCCATTTGGTTATGTGATTATTTACGTATTAAAATTTTATTTTCAATAAAATTTATTTACTAAATTTGTTCAATTAATAAAACCATTTTTTTTTTATTGTAAAATTTTGGCAATTTGAGATTTTGATTTGAATATGTCAGAGTAAGTATGCACAGAGCTAGTACCTACTACTCCCAAGACCCCATACAAGGAAAGCCTAAATGGGGACCTCAAACAGTGTTCTGTGACCCTATCTTATCAACATTGCATTGTTTCTACCTACATTTTATATACATTACAAATGACACTAAGCACAACTGACTATTAAGGAATTGAATATTTTTGCTCATACTAAATCATGAAAAAACACTATATAAAATTCACTTTTTTTTTTCTTTTTTTTTTTTTTTTTTTGTCCATAATGTTGAATATATTAAAATTGTTCAACATTTTTTAACAAGAAAAATCTCATGTTGATGTTAAAAATTGCCACAAAACATTGTTGATTTAAGATGGAATGATCTATTATGACACATCTCTAGATGCATTGTATGTATTTTCAATTTTCTAGTTGAATTATTCACCTATATTGTATGTGATCCATTATCGAACATAATTAGGTTATAATAAAATATATATACTATAGAGTTGGTCAGTTTGACAATTTATGTTTTGGTATCGGTTTCCATTTTTTTTTTTTTTCCTTTGATATCACAGTTTTCAATTCGTTTTTTAATTTAGTATTTTTGCTTTCTAAGGAAGCCATTCATTTTCTTGTGTAATGATAGCATTTCCAGTTGATATCTGATTTCGTTTGAGATTGTTAAATTTACAACTAAACTAAATTCTATCCATGGTTATTAACTGAAAATAGATTTTTTTTTTTTTTATATATGTTTATAATACAGCAATGTTCTTCATAAAGTTTTTTCATTTAATGCAAATACTGAAACCTTCTGTGGGAATTTCTTCTATATCTCATTGGTTTCATGCCTTGATCATGTCAGTTTTCCACAAACACTTTGTTTATGCTATGACAACAAATTATTCTTATTTTCATTGGCATGTTATTTGAAGTAATAATGTTTGTAATTATAAAATCAATTAAGTTAGAACATTAGAAATGATTGTTAAAAATTGACCCGCATGAAATGTAGTCCTGTGACTATTGAAAATAATGCTTCATATTCCTGATAAAATCTGAGGTGATTTTCATTAAAGCATAAGACTCAGTACAAATATCAGTGCATTTACATTTTATTGATCTGAGAATTAATAAATTAACTAGCATTATTTCCAGATTTTACAAAACAACATAATTGAATTAATGGCATGTCCAAGTTTACTATCCATTTTAAATAAAAAAATTTAAAAATGTTAATTTTTGTGATCTTTTTCAGCCAACACCAAAAGAAGATGTTTGTGTAATTTTTTTTTATTTACATTAAAATATTGCACTATTCTGTGAATCTAAACTTCATTTGTTTTGTTTTTAGGTATTGGTTGTTATTGATGCCAAACCTAAAGATCTTGGTTTACCAACTGAAGCATATATTGCTGTTGAAGAAGTACATGATGTAAGAATTTCTTTGTCTCAAACTTACTTTTTCTAATTTTCTTTCTGTTTTAAACTTATAAGATTTCATATATTATTTTAGATTTTGGGGAAATTTTGAACAAACGTTTATAGATTTCACTCCATTTACGTGACTGAGTTCTCATGAAAAGGCTTCACATTGGAGATTATCTTATATATATGACATATTTCTGAATACCTTTTGTTTATGTAAAAACTGCTAAAATGTCTCGTTTATAATTATAAAATGTCTTCAGTTATAACAAATCCCATTCTGAATATGATATTCTTAGTTAATTTTCTCTCATTACATGCATAATCTTGTAAATTTTATGAGGAAAAGAATACCAGCGCTCCTTCTTAGAAGAAATGTTGATATTTATAAAGCAAAATCTAAGCTATTGTTAGAGTTCAATCTTTACTGTTTCCTGAATAATACTGACATAGTTCAAGTAGATCTGGATATTTACTAAAAATCTCTAAAGCATTAACTTTTGAATTAATTGCTCTACATTCAGCAATAAATAATTGCCTTATGTCTTAAATTGTTGACGTGACTTGTTCAGACGAGGATTCTCGTCTTTATTTTTAACTACATTTCAGTTATGCATTGTGAAATGTAAGAGATGAATTGAGCTGCAAACAAAAAATATAGCAATCAAAATAATTCATGGAATGACAGTGTTTTATCTTAGAATTTAAAAATATTTCAAACAAAATAACTTTTTACCATTGCACATATTTTGATTAATTTCTGTTGGATGTTGCAAAAAGGCTAAAAAGATAGCAAATAAAAAAAAAATTGATTATTTTATCGAATTAATTTTATTCAGTTCATATCCTGACTATTATTTTATGTGAGTAGTGAATTTAAATTTGACAAAAACATTTTTGAATTCTGCAAAGAAGTTGAGAAAATGAATGAAAATGTTAATGTTTAAAGTTTTATTGTTAGAATCATTTCTTTATGATCAAGACCCTAGCATCACAGATTTTCTCATTCTATTTGTATAGTCATTAAGGTCATTTAAAAATAAGGAGTTGGTGTGTGCCTCAATACTTTTACTAATGATGTGATTGTTCAATGCAACATAAATTTACTTTGTGCCACATTAAGACAGAAAATATTTAATTATTTAGACTGAATTAAAATGTATAAATGTTGAATAAAATTTCTGATGCAATGTGATATTAGGAAATGTACATATTACTTGTAATATTTATATTTTACTATTTAAAAACTTACAAGAAATTGTTTTGTTTGTTACTTGCTTTGTAACATTTAAGTTCAATAGTATTGAAGGTTTTATGTCGTTTTTGAAATTATAATTTCTTATTTATCAAATTAATTTTCAGTAATTTCTGAAATCTGCAATATCTTTCACATTTTCTTGAATTTGAAACCATTTTAATTTTTTCTTAGGATGGAACCCCAACAACCAAAACCTTTGAACATGTGAGCAGTGAAATTGGAGCAGAAGAAGCTGAAGAAGTTGGTGTGGAACATTTATTAAGGTAGTGTATATTGTGGCTGTTGCCATTTCAGTCTTTAAAATACAATTACTTTCTAGCAAGTTTCAAGTATTCATTTTGTTGATACTTGTTAGGATTAAGTTAATTTTTTGACATTATCTTAAGTAAATTTCATATCAACCTACAATTTTAATTGTTTTTAAATTCAGATATTCTTCAAAGTCTAAGTTTCTCTTTTTACATCCCCATCATATATATATATATAATGATAATCCCTTATGGAGATTTTCTTTCTTAATCTAATACATAAGTGTTTATTTAATCTTGCATTTTTGTTTTTAAATGAAAATTTCACCCACATCTTGTTCAATAAAATGTATGTATTTAAACAGAAGATCTTTTTAACTTTATTTGTAGAGATATCAAAGACACAACTGTAGGTACCTTGTCTCAGAGAATTACCAACCAACTGATGGGTCTAAAAGGTTTACACAGTCATATAGATGATGTGAACAGGTACCTGGAGAAGGTAGCATCAGGTCAATTGCCTGTCAACCATCAGATAATCTACCATCTTCAGGATGTGTTCAACCTGCTGCCTGATGTCAACCTGCAAGACTTTGTCAAGGCTGTCTATGTAAAGACCAATGATCAGCATCTTGTTGTTTACCTGGCTGCCCTCATTCGCTGCATCATTGCTCTGCATAACTTGATCAACAACAAAATACAGAACAGAGATGCTGAGAAAAGCGAGGGCAAAGACAAGAAAGAGAAAGGTGATGATAAAGATAAGAAAGACAAAAAAGATGATAAGGACAGTGATAAGAAAGACTCTGATAAAAAAGATGCCAGCACTTCTAAATCCAAGTAATAGTTATGCAAATGTCGCCTATTGTGTACTAGTGTTATTAAATGCAAATAACGTTTCATTTCTCTCGTTAGATATTATGAATTTTATCTTTTGTCATTGTTTTTGAGATTCATCATGTTTCTATTAATTTTTGTATCAACAAAAATGATTCTAGATAATCATTTTGCTACCAAATATGCCTACCTCATATCCTACATCTTTTCATAGGTTGACAAATATTTTAATGACTGGTTACCTCTTAAAAGTTCAGTAGCCTACACAAACCTCTATGTTAGAAAGGCAGGCTGAATGTGGTGTATAAGGTCTTTAACTATTTCATTTAGCAAGATATTAATGGGTCATAAAACTTCTCAAAGCACTTGTATACATAAGTTATGTATGGGCATCACATGAGAATTGCATTTTAAAATGCTATCATTTCTAAAGGATAAATTTGTTTTTGATTTTTTTATTCAAATGTTTTGCAAACTTTTTTGTTTTGTTTTTATTGAGTTGAGTCAGTTGATGAGAAATTTTTATGAAATCTTTTATTTTATCCAAAATTATGTGTGTTTTTTTTTTTTTTTTTTTTTTTTTTTTTTCTCTAAATAGATTTGAATTTACTTACAAAATAGCAATAATTATAAACTGACTAATGAACTGTTTCATATAGCGTTGGTATTTTAAATTCCATGTGCATGTCTCATTAAATATAACACAGAAGGTTTATTTTTTCAAACCTTTTATTAAAATGCATCAAAATCTCAAGAGCAAATTTTACATAATCATTTTTCTATAAAAATGATTAATTAACTTTTATTATCAACTAAAATATTAATGAAATTTTTTCTTTTAGAAAATATTTAAAAAATTCTACAGCACTGACAGTAAAATATCTGATTTCACCCTCCACTCCCCCAATTTTACAAAATCCCTCTACTTGCAAAGGTTTGTCTTACAGTCACTAATATAATAATCATAAGAAACCTTTACAAAGCTTTTCTTTGAATTCTTCCTAAGTCTTGTTTGCGAAGTCAAGATTTTAACAAATTTCCTTTTTTTTTTTTTTTTTTTTTCCAATTTCTTTGAAGCAAAATCTTTTTTATGTGTTAAGATTAGAGATTAATGTCTTTTTTGATTCCCTCCTGATTAACATAAATTCTTAAAACAATATCAGTTTGTTACTTGCTTTGTAACTTTTAAGTTCAATAGTGAATACATTTTCATCTGATCTAAAATGAAATTTAAGGGGAAAATATCTCAAATTATTATGGAGAGGATTTATGGAAATTCTTCAGTGCATTTTTGTACCTTAAAGAATGTGAATTGAGATTTTAATCAGATAGAAAAACATTAAAATCAAAATTTTCAAATTTATAATCTAGGAAAGAATAGAAATTATTAATACTTGTAAGTTTCAAAAAAGACAATATTCTCTGGAAAAGTTATCCCTTTTTTTCAGTTTGAATAATTCTGTTACTTTATTTTTAAATGTCCTAGGTGTGAAAAATGCAAGATGTTTTCTCTTTAACCCTTAGCACTCTGCATTATTAATATTGCTTCTCTTCCCACTGCATTCTCTTCCCAGGCCTCTCAATTGCAGTAACCTTATTGTTAATTTTACTCAAAGTGGTTTTCTGTTGCCATAATGGGATATGAAAACACATCTATGAAATTCAAATTCACAGATTAGAGTTACTTTCAGTGGCAAGATAAACTTTTGTACAACAAATGAACTCTCATACAGAGTGATAAAGGTTGAATATTGGTTGCGGCAAATACATTCCCAACTCAAATGATTAGTCTTAGGTGTTATTGCCATTAAATAACTTTGTTTTTTTTACATAGATTCATTAATAAATCTCGGTAATAATTTTGAGTCTTTTGTCTTTAGCAACAATATAAGAATACAAAAAGCTATGCTCACTGTATTTATCTATAAACTGTTTTTTCACATATTGTCAAGTAATTTTTTTTCCTGAACTGAAACACAAATTCAGTTTGTGCTTTAAAAATTGACTTAGATATAAATGAGATGCCATAGACGCTTATTAACAGCACTTAGCCATGAGTTGTGGCCTCCTGAAAATAAGATGTGCGAGTTGATATGGGTTGGGTTCCACACTGCCATAATAAAGTGAGTCACATGAATTTTTATGCTTTACCAGTGCATATCAGTTACATTTAGAACATACTATAGTTTATTAAGGATCATTAGGTCTAGAAAAAAACAATGTACAAAACTTAACTAACAGTGCTTTATTGCTGTCAAAATGGTGTGAGTGGATGTTCAGGGCTGCCACAAACCTTACATTTTTTTTTTTTAAGGGGAGGGGTATATCTGAGGTGTGACTAATTGATTTCTTTATAAACCCTCAATTGGATAAACTGAAAATTAGCTCAAGTTTACAGATTAAGCTGCTATCAAAAATATTTGTACATCATGATGGATAATTTCAGTTAAATAGAAAGATATTTAGTGTTAAAAATCATTAAAATATACTAGATCTAACGTTTATCAAATTTATAAAATATGTATGATTAACTTGATTACTAAATTTCTATTCGTTCTGATTCTTTTAATAAAACCAAAGATCAGATATTTGTGGGTAGTGTTCAATGCATAAATTATTCGTAGGCACTTGACTAGATATTCAATTTTTTTAGAGATCAAACTTTTGATGTGTTCTGTATTTACTCTCTTGAAACATCTCACTCTGCCTGTCAATCTTCCCCACATACATTGTGTCTAAGTTTTTTGATCTGGGGAATTCTTAAGTGAAACTGGTTGAAATATCTTCAGGGTCATGTGAAATGGGTAAGTTATAAGAAAAATAATGAAGGAAGCAAACTTTACAAAAAACAACCAACTCTTGCTTACAGAAACAATAGTTTATTTCTTGGCGTTACAGCTATCAGTTTAGCTCTTATCAATTATGTTGGCGTTATGGACAACTACAGCTAGTTGGTGAGTTAGGTGTCAGCATTATTTGCAACATATCACAAAGCAACCTTAATGCCCAAGACTGATGGCTGATAGATCAACAGTTCAATCAGGGAACTTTAGTTTCAGACCTGCAGACAAAATTGGTCTCTAACTATTCCACTCAAATGTCATTCTGTAAGTGAAAACTACTTCAGTTGACCACCTCTTTTCTGGCATTAGTTTGCAGGGGTAGGGGATTTCAACTTTCACTTGTTCCACAACCCTCTTTTAGGTTTTCATGAGCCTAATGTTTGGAAAACTAACCAACACTCTTAGCATGGATTTGTACTGCTTATCTCCCTACATGAGCTGAATCTCTCTCTCTCTCTCTCTCCCTATATATATATATATATATATATATATATAATGTACAAGGTGCGATGGGTAAATTGTCGCCATATTATATTTTTATTTTCATGCATGCATGTTTGTTTTTGATTTTTGACTACTGCACACTACAGTAGGGTCTGGTGGACATCATCTAAGAGAAAGAGCACCATGACACAATTCATTCTGTTTGCACCAGAATGCTCCAATACAAACATTTCACAGTGTTTGGGTGTCAATCTGAGGACAGTGCAGAGGATTCAGAATACGTTTTGATTCTAATGGTGATTACAAATGTGTTTAAAGTGATCACTAGTGATGGTGACATTATGTCTTCATTCATCTTCCTATAAGGCTTCAGACTCAACAGCAAGTGCCTTGAGGAGGTAGTGCTGCCCTGGGTCAAGAGGATGACTGCTGGAAATCCTATGTCTAGCAACAAGACTCTGTACCATGCCACACAAGCAGGAGTACCAAGTCATGGATGTCAGACAATTTCTGCAACCCCATTACCCCTTACATCTGGCCACCTAACTCCCCAGACTGCAACCTCCTTGATTATTACGTGTCGGGCGCAGTTTATCGAGAGACCAACAAAACTTGTAACACCAAAGATGAACTGAAGGCAAGGACTATGGCAGCATTCACCAACTTAAACAAGGGCACCGTTCAGAAGAGATGCAGGAAATTCTGAAGTCATCTGGAGGCCATGGTTGAAGCCAATGGCAATTTTATTGAATAAATTTACTTTTAGTATTTCTATATATTTTTGTGTAATTTTGGTAAATATATCTGTTAAAATAAGATGTCAGTGTTATTTTCATTTTTGCGTAATTTAGATGAAAATTTATCCATCGCACCCTGTGTGTGTTTGTCTGTATATATATATATATATATATATAAGCAAAGATAGTTTACACATAACAAAATGTGTCAACCAGTACATTGTAGATAATGCATTCAAGGCAGACATAACTTTTACTGATAAAATGGTCAATATTAAAAAATATGAATCATCAACAGTGAATGTATAAATAAAAAGCTCAATAACATCTTCCAGCAGTTTCCTGCCAGGTGGATCTATCTATCTACTTACTTATATATATATATATATATATATATATATATATATATATATATATATATATATATATGAGAGAGAATGATAAATTTTTATATATCAAAAACAATATTGGAGGAAAAGTATAACAAATTTGCAAAAAGTTTTTGTGTGTCACATTTTGATTTTGTTTAGTTTATCTACAATTTCCGGTAAATTAGTATCACGAGTATATATATTAATAGTGTATTATCAGTATATTAGAAGTATGCTGATTGTTTGCATAAAATATTTTGATCAAAGGGAAAAACAATTCACGAAGACGTTTAGAGAGTGCAAGGTAATGCACTGTAAATTTGCACCCTAGCTCTTACAACATTTTACCATTCCTAGCAAATCTATTATCATATTCACTTGGGTAATGAACCAAGCAAACATTTATACTTGTGTCCATCTTGATATGTTCCAACTGCCGCTTGCTTGATACAGGGTTATTACCTAATAATGTAACCAATAGGTTTTTACAATATGACTTGAAAACAAAATGCTAGAGTATGCAGTAGAAAATGAGGAATTTACCTTCACCAAAAATAGCATGCATATCTTGATATCAGTTCAAAACTATGACAGCAGGTTTCTTTGATCATA